ACCCAGGACTGAGGCTGTAGACCCAGGACTGAGACTATAGACCCAGGACTGAGGCTGTAGACCCAGGACTGAGGCTGTAGACCCAGGACTGAGGCTGTAGACCCAGGACTGAGGCTGTAGACCCAGGACTGAGACTGTAGACCCAGGACTGAGACTATAGACCCAGGACTGAGGCTGTAGACCCAGGACTGAGGCTGTAGACCCAGGACTGAGGCTGTAGACCCAGGACTGAGACTGTAGACCCAGGACTGAGACTATAGACCCAGGACTGAGGCTGTAGACCCAGGACTGAGGCTGTAGACCCTAGGACTGAGGCTGTAGACCTAGGACTGAGACTGTAGACCCAGGACTGAGGCTGTAGACCCAGGACTGAGACTGTAGACCCAGGACTGAGACTATAGACCCAGGACTGAGGCTGTAGACCCAGGACTGAGGCTGTAGACCCAGGACTCCGGGGACTCGAGCTGATAAATGCACGGCTTCGTTCACGGCTTTTTTATCACATCTTTTAAACTCGGATTTGCATCAAGTTTGGGAGATTTTGTGGATTACATTTCGCGTTTTTCCAGATCCATTTGAGAGACCTCACACATTCGCTCCCCTTTCCTCCCCCTTTCCTCCCCCGTCCCCAGAACGCTCGTGTCCACACAATAAAACATTATTTGCTGCTGCCGCGGTCCGGGTCCACGGGGCCTGAGAATAACACCTTTTCATTGGACAGTTATTGTTTTTGGTAAATATCGACATAAATAATGTTAAATACATTTGTTGATCAGAGACTTTGGAGGAAACTGAGCCTTTGTCTTTTAGAAGAAATACTTCACATGTGTACTTTACATTTTCCTTATTATGAACTGTATTTGCAAAAGGCGCAGTTCATGTTTTGACGTGATTCTCGTTGTGACTGAACGAGATTTGCCGCATGCGTCGCGGAGTCCGGGACCCGGACTCCACTGAACCAATGCAGCGGACTCCCGGACCCGGAATCCCGGACCCGGAGTCCGCTGCATTGGTTCAGTGCTTTAATTTACGCGTTTGTTTTTTCTCATTGACATGAATGAGCTCCGTATGAGAGAGAGGTCGGCTAACCTACCTTACTCTACTCTACTCTACTCTACTCTACTCTACTCTACTCTCCTGAGGCTAGATGTCTTTACCCTTTTTTGTCATTTGTCATCTGCATAATTATTATTATTATTAATAATAATAATAATAATAATAATAATAATTGGTATTGGTAAAAAGTATGGAAATGATTGAATGATTTGTTTGAATGATTTGAAACTTGTATAATTATGAATTTTCATGAAACAAATAAATAACCATAACCAATAATAATGCATAAGTGTTATACATTTCTTTTCAGACTCTCAAAGTCTCTTCACATCATTATTCTTTCTCTCCAAACACGGTAGTGATAAACTACTACTGTAGCCACAGCTGCCCTGGGGCACACTGACAGAAGCGAGGCAACCCGTCTGTGCCATCGGCCCCTTCCACACACACCAGACTCATTCTAAACAGAGCAGTCAAAATGACGGCCGTAGTTTACGTTTGTGCATCTTCTTTGTGACTGTTTCTGTTCTTGGTTTGTTCCAGTTTTTTGTGATGTTTTATTGTGTGTTCTATTGTGTACTTTTCCCTCCCAAAGTGCCCCCTCTGGTGGCAGTAGAGGGAGTTACAGGCTGATTCTCATATTTTATTCTGAAGTTTTGATTCCAAACTGAAGGCAGAAAGTTTGTTCTTGTGGCGTGTCTGTGACGGACCAAAGCGTGCCCCTGATGTCACATGTAAAAAGCAGATATATATAAATAAATGTGCCTGTGCTGCAGAGAAGGACAAGGCCCTGACGAAGGCCGACGACTCGAGCGAAGACCCGTCCAAGAAGAAGAGACAGCGGCGCCAGAGAACACACTTCACCTCCCAGCAGCTGCAGGAGCTCGAGGCCACCTTCCAGAGGAACCGCTACCCAGACATGTCCACCAGGGAGGAGATCGCTGTGTGGACCAACCTGACCGAGGCCAGGGTCCGGGTAAGAGAGGGGGAGAGGGGGAGGGAGGGAGGGAGGAGCCGATACCCAGACATGTCCACCAGGGAGGAGATCGCTGTGTGGACCAACCAGACTGAAGCCGGGGTCCGGGTAAAAGAGGGGGAGGGAGGGAGGGAGGGAAGGAGGGGGAGAAAGAGGAGAGGGGGGGAGAGAGGGGAGAGTTGCGTTTCTCACAACAGTTCGACTGACGGAGATTTATGAGACACAGACACAATCCACATTTGAAGCACAGGCTGTGTATTCAGGAGATACTGAGGCTGAGTGTGTGCGTTTAAAAGCGTCAGTGTGTGTCTCTGTTTGTGTGTCTGTGTGTCTGTGTTTGTGTGTGTGTATCTTGGAGACATAATAACAATGTTGCCGCAGAATAAGAAATATATGAAAGACGCAGATATCAAACTTCAGAAGACAAATATTAAAAACCAGAGAGAGACCAGAGAGAGACCAGAGACCAGAGAGAGACCAGCGAGAGACCAGAGAGAGACCAGAGAGAGACCAGAGAGAGACCAGAGAGAGAGACCAGAGAGAGAGACCAGAAAGAGACCAGAGAGAGACAAGAGAGACCAGAGAGAGACCAGAGAGAGACCAGCGAGAGACCAGAGGGAGACAAGAGAGACCAGAGAGAGACCAGAGAGAGACCAGCGAGAGACCAGAGAGAGACAAGAGAGAGACAAGAGAGAGACAAGAGAGAGACAAGAGAGACCAGAGAGAGACCAGAGAGGGACCAGAGAGGGACCAGCGAGAGACCAGCGAGAGACCAGAGAGAGACCAGCGAGAGACCAGCGAGAAACCAGAGAGAGACCAGCGAGAGACCAGAGAGAAACCAGAGAGAGACCAGCGAGAGACCAGAGAGAAACCAGAGAGAGACAAATAGTGACTCTCAGGGTTTTCTCACAGCGACAGACAGATTGATTGATGGTTGATGGTTGGATGAATGGATGTTCAGTGAAATTTAACGTATGGATTTTAATGATGTCTCCATTTGTGCGTCTCAAGGTGTGGTTCAAGAACCGTCGCGCCAAGTGGAGGAAGCGTGAGCGGAACCAGCAGGCAGAGCTCTGCAAGAACGGCTTCGGGCCCCAGTTCAACGGACTGATGCAGCCGTACGACGACATGTACCCAGGATACACCTACAACAACTGGGCTGCCAAGGGCCTGACCTCGGCCTCGCTCTCCACCAAGAGCTTCCCCTTCTTCAACTCCATGAACGTCAACCCTCTGTCCTCGCAGTCCATGTTCTCCGCCCCCAACTCCATCTCCTCCATGACCTCTGGCATGGTGCCCTCTGGCGTGCCCGGCTCCGGTCTCAACGGCTTGAATAATTTGAACAACTTGAGCAACCCCTCGCTGAACTCGGGCGTCCCGGCCCCGGCGTGCCCCTACGCCCCCCCCACGCCGCCCTACGTGTACCGCGACACGTGTAACTCCAGCCTGGCCAGCCTCAGACTCAAGGCCAAGCAGCACTCCAGCTTCGGCTACGCCACGGTGCAGAACCCGGGGGGCAACCTCAGCGCCTGCCAGTACGCGGTGGACCGGCCGGTGTGAGGGTCTGGGGGGGGACCGGCCGGTGTGAGGGTCTGGGGAGGAGGATGGACAGCGAGACCAAGGCCGCATCTCAATCCTACGTCTGCTTCCTCAACGCTTGTTCTGCCTGAGATTTGGTGCATTTGAAGACATTCTCTGCAGCGAGGACAGAGGTGCAGCAGACCACTCTTTCAAATAATCAAGTCGTGCTATTGTTGTATTTATTTTTGCCGAGATGTGTTTGCGGCTGACCACAAGGTCTCTGTCTGGTCTCTCTCTGGTCTCTCTCTGGTCTCTCTCTGGTATCTCGCTGGTCTCTAGCTGGTCTCTCTCTGGTCTCTCGCTGGTCTCTCTCTGGTATCTCGCTGGTCTCTAGCTGGTCTCTCTCTGGTCTCTCTCTTTGGTCTCTTGTTGGTCTCTCTCGTCTCTCTCTCTGGTCTCTCTCTCCCTCTGGTCTCTTCTGGTCTCTCTCTCTCTGGTCTCTCTCTGGTCTCTCTGGTCTCTCTCTGGTCTCTCTCTCTCTCGTCTCTCTCTCTCTCTCTGGTCTCTCTCTGGTCTCTCTCTGGTCTCTCGCTGGTCTCTCGTCTCTCTCTGGTCTCTCTGGTCTCTCTCTCTCTCTCTGGTCTCTCTCTGGTCTCTCTCTCTCTCTCTCTGGTCTCTCTCTGGTCTCTCTCTGGTCTCTCTGGCTCTCTCTCTCTCTCTGGCTCTCTCTGGTCTCTCTCTGGTCTCTCTCTGGTCTCTCTGGCTCTCTCTGGCCTCTCTCTGGCTCTCTCTGGTCTCTCTCTGGTCTCTCTCTCTCTCTCTGGTCTCTCTCTGGCCTCTCTCTGGTCTCTCGCTGGTCGCTGGTCCCTCTCTGGTCTCTCTCTCTGGTCCCTCTCTGGTCTCTCTCTAATGGAGAAAATGTACTTTTTTGTCACATTTTTAACTCTGAGGCTTTGGATTGGTTTCCGTCCAGAGCGAGTGTGTCCGACTGCACCACATCACATTGGATTTATGACTGAGTAGAAAGTCTTGCCCAGCTTCTGTTCCGTGTTGGGAGTTTTAAAACATGACATTACAATCGCAGCAGCTCCTTCCCGATGGCCACAGTGAGTTCTGGACACGGCCTCCGTCGTATTCGCCGCGTCTTCAGCCGGAAACTGAGGTTAAAACAAAAAAACAGACATTTTCCACAAGCACCGAGCAACCGAGCCCCGGGAACAAAACACAGCTACAGCTAAAGCTACAGCTAGAGCTAAAGCTACAGCTACAGCTACAGCTAAAGCTAATGCTACAGCTACAGCTACAGCTACAGCTACAGCTAAAGCTACAGCTACAGCTAAAGCTACAGCTACAGCTAAAGCTAAAGCTACAGCTAAAGCTACTGCTAAAGCTACAAATCTTTTTCTTCTTCTTGTTCTTCTTCTACATTTTTGGTGATTTAAAAAAAGGGGAGCAACAGGAGCAAAAGTCCTGGACGTGTGTTGCTGTGTGAAACTGTTCCAGAGACACGAGGCCTGTGGGACTTTGGAAAAACTGTTTTGAGAAAAGACAAACCAGGCCTCGCGCTCGCCGAGCTGGCACTTGCCGGACGCCGAGCTGGCGCTTGCCGGACGCCGCACTCACAGCTTGTAAATAATCACATATATATCTGACTTCTGCTTCTGCTCCAGTCTGTCCTCTCTCCCCATTTATAGCAACAAACGCATGTGGATTTAAAAAATTAAACGCGAAAAGGACTGCTGTACATAGCCAGACGCAGTGTTTGTATATGACACATTTATCCTGGATGTCTGTGTGAGGTTAGAGTAGTGCAACCGAACCATGTGCAACCGAACCATGTGTAACTGTTCTTTCTTTTACAACAACCCCAAAAACAATTGTGCTTTATTTAATGGAAGTAAATATATTGTTCAAAAACAGTCTGTGTCCGGCTCTCTTTTGTTTTTCCCCAGGTTTATACCAGTGATAGAGAGAGAGACTACTGTAGAGAGAGGTCTCTCTCTCTGGTCTCTCTGGTCTCTCTCTGGTCTCTCTCTCTAGTCTCTCTCTCTGGTCTCTCTCTGGTCTCTCTCTGGTGTCTCTCTGGTCTCTCTCTGGTGTCTCTCTGGTGTCTCTCTGGTCTCTCTCTGGTCTCTCTCTCTAGTCTCTCTCTCTGGTCTCTCTCTGGTCTCTCTCTGGTCTCTCTCTGGTCTCTCTCTGGTGTCTCTCTGGTGTCTCTCTGGTCTCTCTCTGGTCTCACTCTGGTCTCACTCTGGTCTCTCTCTCTGGTCTCTCTCTGGTCTCTCTCTGGTGTCTCTCTGGTCTCACTCTGGCCTCTCTCTGGTCTCTCTCTCTGGTCTCTCTCTGGTCTCTCTCTGGTCTCTCTCTGGTGTCTCTCTGGTCTCACTCTGGTCTCACTCTGGTCTCTCTCTCTGGGCTCTCTCTGGTCTCTCTCTGGTCTCTCTCTGGTGTCTCTCTGGTCTCACTCTGGTCTCACTCTGGTCTCTCTGGTGTTTGTTGTTCCAAGCCTGAGTGAGCAGCAGTTCATTTGTGTGTATTGGAAACACGTCGTGTGTGTCCACGGAGATGGATTGGACACACACTGCCGCCGCGTCTCACACACAGACACATCACAGCAGACACACACAGACACATCACAGCAGACACACAGACACACATCACATCAGACACACACAGACACACATCACATCAGACACACACAGACACACACTCATACACACAGATCCCTGACTCTGACTCTTTGGGCTGCGAGCTGATTGGCTGACAGAGGGGGTCCTCTCTCACTTTTCTGTCTGAAAAATTTGAGATGTGACAGAGAAACATGAAACTAGTGACAGAAGCAAACTAGACCCAGACCAAGACCAGAACCAGGACCAGGACCAGGACCAGACTCAGATCAACCTAAAGCGGCTTTTCCACAGTAACGGTACGGTACGGTACGGTACGGCACGGTACGGTACGGCGTGGTTCTGTCCAGGCTGAAGCGGTACCATGACGTGACGTCGGCCCACTGCCTCACACTGATTGGTCAACAAGTGTCGTCACTGGAAGCGACCTCTGACCCTTTGGGAAAAACAACTCAACCGCCATCTTTAAAACCGGCTGCTCTGCTCGGCTCTGCTTCGGCTTCAGTACGTCCTCCTCACTCCAGAGAAATGGAATCGCACAGAAAGCCCCAAAAGTCCTGGTCCTGGTCCGAGGTCCACACGTTCCTCTCTTCAGGCCAAAAGAATTCAAGGCAGCTCGACGGAACAAGGTTTTCAGGGAGCTCTGGATTTGTGACTAGTCTGTGGTGATCCTGAAATAACTGTTAGCTACGAATCCCGTTAAAGCTCTCACTGAAATGTATTTACTGTGTACATGTTTGATTGTCTGCTATCGTTTAGCTATCGTTTAGCTATCGATAGCAGCTAAGCTAACGTCCTTCCTGTGCTACTGTGCTGGATTTAGCTCTTTCACGTGTTTCTGTTTTGTGCTTGTATTTAAGTTGTCGTGTGTGTATTTGTTTGAGAATCCCTTTCCATAAGTGTGGAGATTACCAACGAGCAGTGACCGGACACTTCACATTCTCATCTGAACCTGGTCTGGACCTGGTCTGGACCTGGTCTGGACCTGGTCTGGACCTGGTCTCAGACGTACTTTGGACTTTGTAAACTGTTGGTTTTGCACTTTACTTTTGTTTTTAATAAATCTGTGATTGTATCAAGACTGTTTGAAAAGGGGGTCAAAAGTTATGATTTCCTACAATATACTTTTACTTTATATTGAATTATATTTGTCAGTAAATCTGTATAACCTTGGAACATTTATGAACATGGATGGAGACATTTGGTAAAAGTTTTATTTTTGATCAAAACACACAAGGGCAAAATAAATGTTTAGGCAAATGATTTTTATCATATATTACTTTTTTACTTCTCCTTTTTCGAGTTGATAATTATTTAAAATAAATGTATATTGTAAATCTAAGTTATGTGTTGACCTCGAAATAAATACTTTTTTATTTCTAATGACAAAGTGACATCAGACCAATGTTATTAGCTACATGTGTTCTCACACCCCTCCCAGGCTGAGGAGACACTGGAGGTTCCATGTTGAATGGAAAAGCACCCGCACTCAGCCGTGCCGTGCCGTGCCGTGCCGTTACTGTGGGAAAGCAGCATCAAATCTCCTCTCATTGTGGACATTTGGGTCCTCTGCGTTTGACCTGAAGATGTTTCTGTAGACAGGTCAGGACCAGAGAGGGAGGAGCTGGTTACCGCAGCACCTGGAGGAAACCTACGAGGGCACAGGAAGAACGTGCAAACTCCACGCAGGAAGGACCTGAACACCACAAACACTAAAACATGATGTAACAGACAGGTTCATCTCACACCACTTTATCTATGTAGCACACGCCATTTTACCTTCAACCCAATCCTCGCTCACTGCGCTGTATAAACGACAGCATTCCTCCCCCACCTCCTCCCCCACCTCCTCCCCCCTCCTCCCCCCTGCTCCCCCCTCCTCCCCCCTGCTCCTCCTGAAACACACATTGTTAAAGCTGGGAGAGACCAGCAAGAGACCAGAGTGAGACCAGAGAGACACCAGAGAGACACCAGAGAGAGACCAGAGAGAGACCAGAGAGAGACCAGAAAGAGACCAGAAAGAGAGCAGAGAGAGACCAGAGAGAGACCAGAGTGAGACCAGAGAGACACCAGAGAGACACCAGAGAGAGACCAGAGAGAGACCAGAGAGAGACCAGAAAGAGACCAGAAAGAGAGCAGAGAGAGACCAGAGAGAGACCAGAGAGAGACCAGAGAGAGACCAGAGAGAGACCAGAGTGAGACCAGAGAGAGACCAGAGAGAGACCAGAGAGAGACCAGAGAGAGACCAGAAAGAGAGCAGAGAGAGACCAGAGAGAGACCAGAGAGAGACCAGAGAGACCAGAAAGAGACCAGAGAGAGACCAGAGAGAGACCAGAGAGAGACCTGCTGATCCTAAAGTCCTTCTCAGTTCAAAGAGTCGAGCAGTGACTGATACTTCAGTAGGACCTTTATGTCCAGACTCAAGTTGAAAATGAGACGATGCGGTCGGTCCGAAGACGACACAGACAGAGTTTTACTGCGTGCTTGCAATATTAAACCATGAAGGAACCATAGACGCGACATCAGCAGCTGCCACTGTGTCAGTAGCTTTGGCCTTCAGACCAAAACATCAAGAGGAAAATCAGGACTCGTGCAACTGTCTGTGATACTGAAAAACATTAATATCTAAGCCTCAGTCCTGGGTCTACAGCCTCAGTCCTGGATCTACAGCCTCAGTCCTGGGTCTACAGCCTCAGTCCTGGGTCTACAGCCTCAGTCCTGGGTCTACAGCCTCAGTCCTGGGTCTACAGTCTCAGTCCTGGGTCTACAGCCTCAGTCCTGGATCTACGGCCTCAGTCCTGGGTCTACAGCCTCAGTCCTGGATCTACAGCCTCAGTCCTGGGTCTACAGCCTCAGTCCTGGATCTACAGCCTGTGAGATTTCATAACACTTTGAAGCAACTTTTGTTAAAGTTAAACTCATCATTCTATCAATGTGCAGAAGCCTGTACTGTTCCCTTGTTTTGTCTATCTGAAGGCCAAGCTACAAGCATCTGTGATCGTGTGCTTTGATCGTGCTGTCTCTACCATCGACAATAAAACATGTCTTCTGTCTGAATGAAAGACGCGATCCCAGACTTTGTCATCTTCTTCAGGTGGTGGAAGGATGCGGGCCTTGTCTGTAACATCTAGAGAACAGAAGACTTTTTTTTTTACACAAAAATGTGTTTTTTTTTTTAAGCCAAGACTGAGAAACCTCAATAGAAACCATACATCTGGATCAGCACTTGGACAATCTGCACAGCCCCTGACTTCAGTCAGGCTGTGAGCTGCTGAGACATGGACAATACCATCGTCCTCTTTTGCATGGACATAATTTGGAACAATCTGGATTTCTGAATTTGGACATAATTTGGACTGAATTGAATTGCTGAATCTGGACACTGAAGCTGAAACGTGTGATTGAAAGACACGTCACAGAAGAATTCATGGCTCAACACAAATGCAGCCTGAAGAAACCAACACGGAGAAGTGGGAGAGACTGTTTTCAAAGCAATATCTGGAACCATCGACTGAACAAGTTTGGTATTTTACTGAAGATTGTTGACAAGTTTTATGAAAGATCTGAACATGTTTTATGAGTTTTTGAAGTATTCCGAGTTATGAGTTTTTTGAAGTACCGAGTGAAGTACCGAGTTTATGAGTTTTTGAAGTATTGAGTTATGATGTTATGTTGCTGTTTATCGATCCTGATGGTCACACGTGAATGTATGACCAGAGGGGGGAATGTGAGATTTCATAACACTTTGAAGCAACTTTTGTTAAAGTTAAACTCATCATTCTATCAATGTGCAGAAGCCAGTACTTTTCCCTTGTTTTGTCTATCTGAAGGCCAAGCTACAAGCATCTGTGATCGTGTGCTTTGATCGTGCTGTCTCTACCATTGACAATAAAACATGTCTTCTGTCTGAATGAAAGACGCGATCCCAGACTTGGTACATCTTCTTCAAGCCTCAGTCCTGGGTCTACAGCCTCAGTCCTGGATCTACGGCATCAGTCCTGGGTCTACAGCCTCAGTCCTGGATCTACAGCCTCAGTCCTGGGTCTACAGCCTCAGTCCTGGATCTACGGCCTCAGTCCTGGGTCTACAGCCGCAGTCCTGGGTCTACGGCCTCAGTCCTGGGTCTACAGCCTCAGTCCTGGATCTACAGTCTCAGTCCTGGGTCTACAGCCTCAGTCCTGGGTCTACAGCCTCAGTCCTGGGTCTACAGCCTCAGTCCTGGGTCTACAGCCTCAGTCCTGGGTCTACAGCCTCAGTCCTGGGTCTACAGCCTCAGTCCTGGGTCTACAGCCGCAGTCCTGGGTCTACGGCCTCAGTCCTGGATCTACAGCCTCAGTCCTGGGTCTACAGCCTCAGTCCTGGGTCTACAGCCTCAGTCCTGGATCTACAGCCTCAGTCCTGGGTCTACAGCCTCAGTCCTGGATCTACAGCCTCAGTCCTGGGTCTACAGCCTCAGTCCTGGATCTACAGCCTCAGTCCTGGATCTACAGCCTCAGTCCTGGGTCTACAGAGTTGGACAGTCGGGGTCTGGTTTGCTGAAGCTCCCTGTTGTTATCAGTGGAGCGGATAAGCCGTCTGCACATCCAGCACAATACACACACAATACACACGGCTCAGACTGTGCAGCTGGAGGGAGAGCGGCAGGTCCAGGACACTCCCGTCAGTTTGAGGCCCTTTAACCATCAAGCCGCATCTCAACATGTTATTAACAAACTATGGCTTCAAAACACAGCCATAACTTAGACTTGGACTTAGACTTTATTGATCCTCAGAGAAATTGCGTTGTCACAGTCGCTCTCATAGTATTTCAAAATAAAAGATAAAAATAAAACATCTGTAAAGTGTCCTGTGGTTTCCTGAAGGAGTGAACGCTGCAGAGTTGAAGGATTCTGCTTTCACCTTTGGTCCTCATCAGTCACAGACCTGGAGCTGTGTTTAGATCCACCCAGGCTGATACCAGGAAGTGCACTCTGGTAGCCCCGCCCCTTCTGTCTAAAGGCAGTCTCAGGCTGAAATTGTTTTGCTTGTAGCTCCCTCTGGTGGCAGCAGAGGGAGCTACAAACAGAACACAGTATTTACCCTCTCTCTGGTCTCTCTCTCTCTGGTCTCTCTCTCTCTGGTCTCTCTCTCTCTGGTCTCTCTCTCTCTGGTCTCTCTCTCTCTGGTCTTTCTCTCTCTGGTCTCTCTCTCTCTGGTCTCTCTCTCTCTGGTCTCTCTCTCTCTGGTCTCTCTCTCTCTGGTCTTTCTCTCTCTGGTCTCTCTCTCTCTGGTCTCTCTCTCTCTGGTCTCTCTCTCTCTGGTCTCTCTGGTCTCTTCATACATTTTATTCTGATTATTTTGAAAACAGTCTCGTTGGTCCAGCTCAGTCTGGCTCTGAAACTGTGGCTCTCTGACATGTTCTCTTGCAGTGTTATTCTCTGGGAGTCATGTGTGTCAGGTCCTTTAAAGTTTTGATGTCTGAATGCAGGTTCGACTTGAAAAACCAATGAACACAAGGACGTTGGTTCAACTCAGCTTTAACTTTTTATTGTCATTTGTTGCATCAGCAGCAGCAGGTCGAAAACCTTTGGGGAAAATATACATTTTTAATAAACTTTTACTTTTTAAAGAATGAATTAATACCTGCACCTTCTCCACCGACTCCCACTGATGACTGCTGTCGTTGTGTCCTTGGGCAAGACACTTAACCCCACTTTGCCCAAAGCCCCCACTGAAAGATCAAGGCTATGCTCACACTCAGAGAGCAGCCGTCCTCCTGTGGACTCACCACCTGCAGAGGGTCAGTGAGGGGCTGGTGCTATGAGACTTGGGTGGCATCTCTGACTGCCACCCCCCTGACCCAGAAATGGATTAAAGGGCAGAAAATGGATGGATGGATGGAGAATGAATTAATACTTTTAAACTGAATTTGTACTATTTTTTACTATGTTTTTAACTTGAATTGTATTGTAATTGTTATCATTTTAATGTTTTAGTACAATAAATAAGGGTCCAAATACTTTTAGAATTTAACTGAATTACTTTTAGTTTTTACAAATTTTATCACAATATTTTAACATTGTATTTTATCATAACACTAACTTTTTAGAGGATGATTGAAGATTATTTAAACAAATAAATGAATTACAAATATTTTAGACTGTACTGTTAACTCAATTCACAGAGCCAATCAATTAAACTGATTGTGAGACGTTAAAGAGAATTTCCATTAGCCAAATAGAGTTGAGGTGCCTAGACTGAGAAATAAGTTAAATAATATTACCCCTCACTTGGGTGACTCAAAGTGGTTGAATTAGCCAAAATGTTACATTCCTGATAGCAAACGAACTAAAACGAGCTTAAAATAACCTTTGTCTATTTTAAGCTTCTAAACAGAAATCTTCATTCACCAGTAGCATCTGTGTTCACCTTCATGCATTCAGTTTGTGTGTGTGGTTACACACCTGCACAAACTTGGCTAATTATTTGCCAGACTACTGGTCCCAAACTAACTATGCCTCCATCTACAGGCTAAACTTAAAATAACAAAAGAGATAGGAAGATAGACAGAGCAGTAAGAGTAGATTAGAAAGATGTTTTAGATTTAAGCCGAGATTGACTTAACAATGTGACCACACCGCTCCTGCGAGGGTGGGAATCAAAATGGACGACATTTCTCATAATTCTTGTATTTTGCTATTTTTAAATAAAATGGTTCCTATTGGCTTCATTTATGAAATAGATCAATCTTTTTTTTTGGTCTTCCTAAAAACACGTGTTATCTATGTGCTTGCTACTGTATGTTCACCCGGGCTTGATTTGAGTCTGCAGTTGGGTGACATTCTAGTATCCATCAACGAACGCCTGGCTCCACTGGACTGCAGACTCTCCCTGATTGAGGCACTGCATAAAGAATTTCAAGAAATCCGCCGCAGCCTAGAATACGGTCAACTACAAATCGAGTCACTCACAGAAGAAAACACCAGTCTGCAAAACTCCGTCGTCACGCTTACTTCACAATCCTTCGCAGTTCCCTCACGGCTCACGTCCATATCCAACGAAAACAAAGCCATGAAAGAAAATATCCTGGATTTACAATCACGAAGCATGAGAGACAATCAGATTTTTTCCGGCGTCACTGAATCATCCCAAAGGCTCCGAGAAGCTGGTAAAACATTTCATGGTTGATCAGCTCAAACTCCCCCCAGAAACCGCCGCCATGATATCCTTCCACCGTGTTCACCGCTCAGGACAAAAACACCCAAACTCCACCCGACCCCGACCCATCATTGTCAAATTTGAACACTATAAACACAAAGAGCTGGTTCAGCGTCAAGGCAGGCCGCTAAAGGGACTCACTACGGACTCAACGACCAAGATCCACCAGAAATCATCTGCCGACGAAAACAGCCATTCAAAAATGTCCCCCTCACTTGTGTTGGCATCAGGACTTCTGCCAGACTCGTGTTGGCATCAGGACTTCTGCCAGACTCGTGTTGGCATCAGGACTTCTGCCAGACTCGTGTTGGCATCAGGACTTCTGTCAGACTCGTGTTGGCATCAGGACTTCTGCCAGACTCGTGTTGGCATCAGGACTTCTGCCAGACTCGTGTTGGCATCAGGACTTCTGTCAGACTCGTGTTGGCATCAGGACTTCTGCCAGACTCGTGTTGGCATCAGGACTTCTGCCAGACTCGTGTTGGCATCAGGACTTCTGCCAGACTCGTGTTGGCATCAGGACTTCTGCCAGACTCGTGTTGGCATCAGGACTTCTGCCAGACTCGTGTTGGCATCAGGACTTCTGTCAGACTCGTGTTGGCATCAGGACTTCTGCCAGACTCGTGTTGGCATCAGGACTTCTGCCAGACTCGTGTTGGCATCAGGACTTCTGCCAGACTCGTGTTGGCATCAGGACTTCCACCAGACTCGTGTTGGCATCAGGACTTCTGTCAGACTCGTGTTGGCATCAGGACTTCTGCCAGACTCGTGTTGGCATCAGGACTTCCGCCAGACTCGTGTTGGCATCAGGACTTCTGCCAGACTCGTGTTGGCATCAGGACTTCTGCCAGACTCGTGTTGGCATCAGGACTTCTGCCAGACTCGTGTTGGCATCAGGACTTCTGCCAGACTCGTGTTGGCATCAGGACTTCTGCCAGACTCGTGTTGGCATCAGGACTTCTGGCAGACTCGTGTTGGCATCAGGACTTCTGCCCGACTCGTGTTGGCATCAGGACTTCTGCCAGACTCGTGTTGGCATCAGGACTTCTGCCAGACTCGTGTTGGCATCAGGACTTCTGCCAGACTCGTGTTGGCATCAGGACTTCTGTCAGACTCGTGTTGGCATCAGGACTTCTGCCAGACTCGTGTTGGCATCAGGACTTCTGCCAGACTCGTGTTGGCATCAGGACTTCTGCCAGACTCGTGTTGGCATCAGGACTTCTGCCAGACTCGTGTTGGCATCAGGACTTCTGCCAGACTCGTGTTGGCATCAGGACTTCTGCCCGACTCGTGTTGGCATCAGGACTTCTGCCAGACTCGTGTTGGCATCAGGACTTCTGCCAGACTCGTGTTGGCATCAGGACTTCTGCCAGACTCGTGTTGGCATCAGGACTTCTGTCAGACTCGTGTTGGCATCAGGACTTCTGCCAGACTCGTGTTGGCATCAGGACTTCTGTCAGACTCGTGTTGGCATCAGGACTTCTGCCAGACTCGTGTTGGCATCAGGACTTCTGCCAGACTCGTGTTGGCATCAGGACTTCTGCCAGACCCGTGTTGGCATCAGTACTTCTGCCAGGACTGAAAGCTCTTCACTTCACCCAGGTTTCAATGGACTTTAAAGGAAAAATGTGTCTCAATCAAAGGAGTCGATCTGTGGAGCAGTCTGTGTAAAATCAAAACTTCTTCGTCCAATTTTGTGTTTAAAAAGTCTGTAAAATTATTGATGTTGCAGAAATACATCGCTGCGGATCAGAAACCATTATTTTGTGTTTTGTGTTTTGAGTTTGGATTTGTCAGAGTTGCATTAGAGGCGGCACGGTGGCTGAGTGGATAGCACTCTCGCCTCTCAGCAAGAAGGTCCTGGGTTCGAATCCCGGTTGGACCAGGGCCTTTCTGAGTGGAGTTTGCATGTTCTCCCCGTGTCTGCGTAGGTTTCCTCCGGGTCCTCCGGTTTCCCCTACCACTAAAAATATGTACAATAGGTCTGGCATGTGCCTCCTGTACTGGCACCCCTGCTCCCAAAAATAACAATTGTAAACCGCTTTGAGACTCCGATGTGCAGTGAAAAGGCGGTATATAAATAAAGATTACTACTACTACATATGCACTGGAACTGTAGATGATTTTGTGTTGATAGGAGCAGATATTATACGTTTTGACTTCTTTCTGCTCCTTTTCATTCATAGTAAATGCTGTTGTTGCATTTGTTTTAAATGAATGAAATGAATAAAAATTTAAAAATGAAATAGAAAATGACCTCCTTCGCTGCATCTATTTACCACTTTCCATTACAGGCAGGATAGCAGTTATAAAAACGACAATCCTACCCAAAACAAACTACTTATTCTCATTAATCCCATATCACCCTAATTCAACCTCAAATCCCTTGACATAGGCTGAGTTTACACAGAGACAATGTGGCAGTAAAATAGTAATAGTTGGATGTCGGTTGCTACCAAGCGTTCATACGAAGACAGTGTTCCAGGTGAAAACGTAAGTGTTCAGATCCAGCCTCAGAGTGGGACAACTCAGAGGTGTGAAATCCCCCTCTGCTCTGACCCCCACCTCCGCGGCACAGAGGAAGATTCTACACCTTCGTTCGTCCAAACGAGACCACGCGAAGCTCTAGGTTCAGTTTCCATGTTCACAGCTGCTGTTAAAATGCAGAATGATGTTGGTGTGTTCTGAGGGTCTGGCACAGGAAGTGAGTACACTGCCGAGGGGGGGGCTGGGCACGGGGCTGGGGGTCGTGTGAGTGTTGTAAAGTTTATCTGCCCTCTACTGGCCGGGCGCTAGAACTACATCGTTTTTCAACCTCATGTGAACACTGAGAAATTTGCATTAGGAGCCATGTCGTTTCTGTTAATAGCCTGGAAACGTCTGCGCAGCGTCTCAGTATAAACAGGGCCTTAATCATCACAAGATTCTACTGGAAAAGTACAATCCTAAAAATACGGACCAAGGGGGTTTAGAAGCAGCACATTTTCAGTTCTACGCTCTGGCAAACCAACATATATAAATGCGCACCGAAACAGACACCTCCTGGTTAGATACAGAACAATCATTTTCACATTTCAGACATGTCCTTTCTCAAACAGACCATTAAACGACATTCATGTTTCAAAGCAGCAAGAAAGCAGAAACTCCACCACATTACTAACTCCACACTTTCCCCACTTATAAACCAGCAATAATAAAAGAACACTTCACTTTTGCACATGAGCTGAAAAGGGCCTCATTCACTTAAACCATATTATCACATCCAAACTTTTGTTCTGTTTCCTCTCCAAACCCAGGAGTTCGGCATCGGGAGCAATCTTTTTCTGAAATATCTACAGCTCAAATCCACAAAAACATCAAATATAAACATAAAAACTGCAAACTAACAACTGTCATCCGCAAAATAAGAATGGATCAACATTCCTTCTACTGAAAAACTACTACTATAAAAATATACATAATCAATCAGAAACCACTCCAAGCATTATGCAAACCCACCTCTCGAATGCTCCCGAGGACAACCTCTGGAGCCTAATCTGCAAAAACATTTCTGTCAGGACTAAAAATGCAATCCTTCAATTAACACAGAACGAGATCATCCACAGGGCACACTGCACTGGGGAAAGATCGTCCAAGATGGGCTTCACTACGGAAATCTGTCCACACTGTTCTCATAACGGCAAAGACACACACCTGGTACTGCACCCCCTAGAACCCTTCTGGGGGTCACACAGTCCCTACTCTCCTGCTGTCAGCCGCCCTCTGCTGGCCAGGAGACGTAACAACACTCTCTGACCAAGTGATACGCCTCCAAATCATCCTCATGGCTCCAACCATGGGCAAGAAAACTATTCTCATGAACTGGAAAACAAGAAACAAGATCCATGTCAATCACTGGGAGAACCTGCTGAGCCTCCGTGTAATGACCCAGCAGAACCAGCAGCAGAACCAGAACCATCTCTTCAGAACAATAACTATACTCTGCAACTGACAATGGGAACTGTGTAAAACTGTCAATGTTTGGCAAAGTTTATGCATCAGAGAAACAGCAATGTGTTATTTAACAAATATCAATCCATCCATTTGCTACCCCTTAATCCATCTCTGGGTCAGGGGGGTGGTAAGGGGGGCGGTCAGGGGGGTGGTCAGAGGGGTGATCAGGGGAGTGGCCAGGGGGGTGGTCAGAGGGGTGGTCAGAGGGGTGATCAGGGGGGTGGTCAGGGGGGTGGTCAGAGGGGTGATCAGGGGAGTGGCCAGGGCTATATCTTTATAAAGATTATACTGTAGTAAGGGCTATATCTTTATGTAGATTATACTGTAGTAAGGGCTATATCTTTATGTAGATTATACTGTAGTAAGGGCTATATCTTTATGTAGATTATACTGTAGTAAGGGCTATATCTTTATGTAGATTATACTGTAGTAAGGGCTATGTCTTGTAGATTATACTGATTATCCCTGGCAGGACACGCAGCAGTTACGTGAAGAACATAAAACACATCGGTGAGAGAACCACAGTTACAGTGCACTGTGGGATTCTCACAGTTTGGGGATGGACCAATGGGCAGCGACCCCATCATCAGAATAGAAACAACAGCACATTTTCAGATGAAACGGATCAATTCAAATCGATAATTGACGTGTTTTTCTATGTGTACGATGGAAGGTGACCAGGGCGGCCCAATAACAATAACACATATATTTAGGGGACCAAAGAAAAGATCGATCAGTTTCATAAATGAAGCCATTAGGAACCATTTTATTTAAAGATAACAAATTAAAGGCTTAGGGTTAAGGTTTAGTCTCTAGATAATGCTGTAAACCGCAGTTTTGGACTAGAATTATAGGAAATGTCGTCCATTTTGATTCCCACCCTCACAGAAGCGGTGTGGTCACATGACTCCCAGAGAATAACACTGCAATAGAACATGTCAGAGAGCCACAGTTCCAGAGCCAGACTGAGCTGGACCAACGAGACTGTTTCCTCAGACACTTTCTCTGACACTAAAAAAGTCTCTCCTCTCTCTCCTCTCTCTGCTGCCTCTCCTCTCTCTCCTCTCCTCTCTCCTCTCTCTCTCTCTCCTATCCCTCTCTCCTCTCTCCTCTCTCTCTCCTCTCTCTCTCCCCTCTCTCCCCTCTCTGAGGGAGGTGTGCTCTGTGAGGGAGGTGTCATCTGTGAGGGAGGTGTTCTCTGTGAGGGAGGTGTCCTCTGAGGGAGGTGTGCTCTGTGAGGGAGGTGTCATCTGTGAGGGAGGTGTGCTCTGTGAGGGAGGTGTGCTCTGTGAGGGAGGTGTCCTCTGAGGGAGGTGTGCTCTGTGAGGGAGGTGTCATCTGTGAGGGAGGTGTGCTCTGTGAGGGAGGTGTGCTCTGTGAGGGAGGTGTCCTCTGAGGGAGGTGTCCTCTGTGAGGGAGGTGTGCTCTGTGAGGGAGGTGTGCTCTGTGAGGGAGGTGTCCTCTGAGGGAGGTGTCCTCTGTGAGGGAGGTGTGCTCTGTGAGGGAGGTGTCTTCTGTGAGGGAGGTGTCCTCTGTGAGGGAGGTGTGCTCTGTGAGGGAGGTGTGCTCTGTGAGGGAGGTGTCCTCTGTGAGGGAGGTGTCCTCTGTGAGGGAGGTGTCCTCTGTGAGGGAGGTGTGCTCTGTGAGGGAGGTGTGCTCTGTGAGGGAGGTGTGCTCTGTGAGGGAGGTGTGCTCTGTGAGGGAGGTGTCTTCTGTGAGGGAGGTGTGCTCTGTGAGGGAGGTGTCCTCTGTGAGGGAGGTGTCCTCTGTGAGGGAGGTGTGCTCTGTGAGGGAGGTGTGCTCTGTGAGGGAGGTGTGCTCTGTGAGGGAGGTGTCCTCTGTGAGGGAGGTGTCCTCTGTGAGGGAGGTGTCCTCTGTGAGGGAGGTGTGCTCTGTGAGGGAGGTGTCCTCTGTGAGGGAGGTGTCCTCTGTGAGGGAGGTGTCCTCTGTGAGGGAGGTGTGCTCTGTGAGGGAGGTGTGCTCTGTGAGGGAGGTGTGCTCTGTGAGGGAGGTGTCTTCTGTGAGGGAGGTGTGCTCTGTGAGGGAGGTATGCTCTGTGAGGGAGGTGTGCTCTGTGAGGGAGGTGTGCTCTGTGAGGGAGGTGTGCTCTGTGAGGGAGGTGTGCTCTGTGAGGGAGGTGTCCTCTGTGAGGGAGGGGGAGCTGTTTTTTTCTGCCTTTTTATCGTTGTAAAACTATGAATTGAAGTGTGTGAAGTGTTGTTTATTTATTGCAGTATTTGCACTTTTATGTCTTTGTTTTAAACATCACAATGTGAAACATGTGATGTTATTTGACCTGTTTAATGGACACATAAAGGTCTGTTAAAAAAAAATAAAAAATCTCCTGCCTCTCCTTTCTCTCTCCTCTCTCTCCCCTGATGCCTACTCTCTCCCCTCTCTCTCTCCTCTCTCTCCTGTCTCCCTTCTCTCTCCTCTCTCTCCTCTTTCTCCTCTCTCTCTTCTCTCTCTCTCCTCCCCTCTCTCTCCTCTCTCTCTTCTCTCTCTCTCCTCCCCTCTCTCTCCTCTCTCTCTCCTCCCCTCTCTCTCCTCTCTCCTCTCTCTCCTTTCTCTCCTCTCTCTCTCCTCTCTCTCTCCTCTCTCCCCTCTCTCTCCTCTCTCTCCTCCCTCCCACATGTATAGATATTTGAATTCCTGACGAAGGAAAAGTAAGTAAGAGTAAATACAGCTTTTGTTTGTTCTCCTCAGTTGAATATCTCAGAAGATCAGAGGTGGCTGTCGTGCAGAGAAGAAGAGGAAACCCAGAGCACAGTGGCTGTCGTGCAGAGAAGAAGAGGAAACCCGGAGCACAGTGGCTGTCGTGCAGAGAAGAAGAGGAAACCCGGAGCACAGTGGCTGTCGTGCAGAGAAGAAGAGGAAACCCGGAGCACAGTGGCTGTCGTGCAGAGAAGAAGAGGAAACCCGGAGCACAGTGGCAGTGTCTTGACTGTTTCACAATCTGCTCTTTAATAAGTTCTGTGTAAAAATATAATAAAAATAGTTTGCAAAAGGACGAGTAACTGGTAGTTCCTTTTATTATGATTCTCTCTGGTCTCTCTCTGGTCTCTCTCTGGTCTCTCTCTGGTCTCCCTCTGGTCCCCCTCTGGTCCCCCTCTGGTCTCTCTCTGGTCTCTCTCTGGTCTCTCTCTGGTCTCTCTCTGGTCTCTCTCTCTGGTCTCTCTCTGGTCTCTCTCTCTGGTCTATCTCTGGTCTCTCTCTGGTCTCTTTCTGGTCACTCTCTCTGGTCTCTCTCTGGTCACTCTCTCTGGTCTCTCTCTCTGGTCTCTTTCTAGTCTCTCTCTGGTCTCTCTTTGGTCTACCTCTGGTCTCTCTCTGGTCTCTCTCTGGTCTCTCTCTGGTCTCTCGCTCATTGTCCCATCATCACCATGAATCAGACTGTGGGACAGCGGGTGAATAGGAATTAACAAACCAGAGCTGGGACAGGACAGTGCTGTTCCCAGAGGTCTCCAGCAGGGGGCCCTCCTCTGGGGCCCAATGCTAACAATGCTAACGATGCTAACACAAACAAACCGGGTCCTGGAGCAGGGATTACAGGACATCTATTTGATGTCATCAGGGCTCAGCTGGTGGAGCTCGGGGTGCAGCCGCTGTGACATTAGCCCGGGTCCAGGAGCCAATGAGGCGGGGCCACTGGGCGGGGGGCAACACGCCTTTATGAGACTTTCTGCATCAATGCACAGTTTACTCAGAGAGAAGAATGGTTATACTCACTGCTCGGAGATATAGTCCATATGTGAAGAAGGGAGGGGGAGAGAGAGGGAGGGGGAGGGAGGGAGAGAGGGGGAGGAGAGGGAGGGAGAACGAGTTCGCTCGTTCACTTGTTCACTCGTTCACACGTTCACTCCTTCACACGTTCACTCGTTCGCTCGTTCACTCGTTCAAACGTTCGCACGTTCGCACGTTCACACGTTCACTCGTTAACACGTTCACACGTTCACTCCTTCACACGTTCACTCCTTCACACGTTCACTCGTTCGCTCGTTCACTCGTTCAAACGTTTGCACGTTCACTCGTTCACTCGTTCACTCGTTCACACGTTCACACGTTCACAAGTTCACTCGTTAACACGTTCACACGTTCACTCGTTCACAAGTTCACTCGTTCAAACGTTCACTCGTTCACTCGTTCACACGTTCACACGTTCACTCGTTCACTCGTTCACTTGATCACATGTTCACACCTTCACATGTTCACTCGTTCACACGTTCACACCTTCACTCGATCACACGTTCGCTCGTTCGCTCGTTTGCTCGTTCACTCGTTCACACGTTCACACGTTAACACGTTCACACGTTCACTCCTTCACACGTTCACTCGTTCGCTCGTTCACTCGTTCAAACGTTCGCACGTTCACTCGTTCACTCGTTCACTCGTTCACTCGTTCACACGTTCACACGTTCACAAGTTCACTCGTTAACACGTTCACACGTTCACTCGTTCACAAGTTCACTCGTTCAAACGTTCACTCGTTCACTCGTTCACACGTTCACACGTTCACTCGTTCACTCGTTCACTCGATCACATGTTCACACCTTCACATGTTCACTCGTTCACACGTTCACACCTTCACTCGATCACACGTTCGCTCGTTCACACGTTCACTCGTTCACACGTTCACACGTCCGCTCGTTCGCTAGTTCGCTCGTTCACACCTTCACTCAATCACACGTTCGCTCGTTCACTCGTTCACACGTTCACATGTTCACTCGTTCGCTCGTTCACACCTTCACTCGATCACACGTTCGCTCGTTCGCTCGTTCGCTCGTTCACTCGTTCACACGTTCACACGTTCACTCGTTCACACGTTCACATGTTCACTCGTTCGCTCGTTCACACCTTCACTCGATCACACGTTCGCTCGTTCGCTCGTTCGCTCGTTCACTCGTTCACACGTTCACACGTTCACTCGTTCACACGTTCACACGTCCGCTCGTTCGCTAGTTCGCTCGTTCGCTCGTTCGCTAGTTTGCTCGTTCGCTAGTTCGCTCGTTCACTCGTTCACACGTTCACTCGTTAACTCGTTAACTCGTTCACACGTTCGCTCGTTCACACGTTCGCTCGTTCACTCGTTCACACGTTCGCTCGTTCACACGTTCACTCGTTCAAACGTTCGCTCGTTCGCTAGTTTGCTCGTTCACTCGTTCACACGTTCGCTCGTTCACACGTTTGCTTGTTCGCTCGTTCACACGTCCGCTCGTTCACACGTTCACTCGTTCGCACGTTCACTCGTTCGCACGTGCACTCATTCACACGTTCACTCGTTCAAACGTTCGCTTGTTCGCTCGTTCACACGTCCGCTCGTTCACACGTGCACTCATTCACACGTTCACTCGTTCACATGTTCGCTCGTTCGCTCGTTCACACGTTCGCTTGTTCACTCGTTCACACGTCCGCTCGTTCGCTCGTTCGCTAGTTCGCTCGTTCACTCGTTCACACGTTCACACGTTCACTCGTTCACACGTTCGCTCGTTCGCTAGTTCGCTCGTTCACTCGTTCACTCGTTAACTTGTTAACTCGTTCAAACGTTCACTCGTTCAAACGTTCACTCGTTCAAACGTTCACTCGTTCCCACGTTCACTCGATCACTCGTTCACACGTTCACTCGTTCACTCGTTCACTCGATCACACGTTCACACCTTCACACCTTCACTCGTTCACACGTTCACTCGTTCACTCGTTCACTCGATCACACGTTCACACCTTCACTCGTTCACACCTTCACTCGTTCACACCTTCACTCGATCACTCGTTCACACCTTCACACCTTCACTCGATCACACCTTCACACGTTCACTCGATCACACGTTCACTCGTTCACACCTTCACTCGATCACTCGTTCACACCTTCACACCTTCACTCGATCACACCTTCACACGTTCACTCGATCACACGTTCACTCGTTCACACCTTCACAAGTTCACACGTTCACACCTTCGCACGTTCACTCGTTTACTCGATCACACCTTCACTCGTTCACTCGATCACACGTTCACTCGTTCACTCGACCACACGTTCACACCTTCACACGTTTACTCGTTCACTCGATCACACGTTCACTCGATCACACCTTCCCTCGTTCACTAGATCACACGTTCACTTGTTCACACGTTCACTCGATCACACGTTCACTCGATCACACGTTCACTCGTTCACTAGTTCACTCGTTCACTCGATCACACCTTCACTCGATCAAACGTTCACTTGTTCACACGTTCACTTGTTCACACGTTCACTCAATCACACGTTCACTCGTTCACTCAATCACACCTTCACACGTTCACTCGTTCACTCGATCACACCTTCACACGTTCACTCGTTCACACGTTCACTCAATCACACGTTCACTCGATCACACCTTCACTCGTTCACACGTTCACTCGTTCACTCGATCACACTCCATCCCCTCCTCAATCACCTCCTCCAGTACCTCCTCCATCCCCTTCTCCATCACCTCCTCCAGTACCTCCTCCATCCCCTTCTCCATCACCTCCTCCAGTACCTCCTCCATCACCTCCATTGTGCGCTCTGCAGAGAAAGTGATCGGTCGCAGCCTTCCATCGCTGCAGGACCTGTACGTCGCCAGGGCTCGGGGCAGGGCTGGTCGTATCACAGCCGACCCCTCTCACCTGCACATGGACTGTTCCAACCACTCCCCTCTCACCTGCACATGGACTATTCCAACCGCTCCCCTCTCACTTGCACATGGACCACTGCAAATCTACCAAGACCTGGCCGTCCCTCCAAACTTTCATCTCAAACAAGGAGAAGACTGATCAGAGATGCAGCCAAGAGGCCCATGATTGCTCTGGATGAACTGCAGATAACTACAGCTGAGGTGGGAGAGTCTGTCCATAGGACAACAATCAGTCGTGCACTGCACAAATCTGGCCTTTATGGAAGAGTGGCAAGAAGAAAGCCATTTTTCAAAGATATCCATAAAAAGTCTCGTTTAAAGTTTCCCAAAAGCCACCTGGGAGACACACCAAACATGTGGAAGAAGGTGCTCTGGTCAGATGAAACCAAAATCAAACTTTTTGGCCACAATGCAAAACGATATGTTTGGCGTAAAAGCAACACAGCTCATCACCCTGAACACACCATCCCCACTGTCAAACATGGTGGTGGCAGCATCATGCTTTGGGCCTGCTTTTCTTCAGCAGGGACAGGGAAGATGGCTAAAATAGATGGGAAGATGGATGGAGCCAAATACAGGACCATTCTGGAAGAAAACCTGTTGGAGTCTGCAAAAGACTGTTAGAATGGCCAAGTCAAAGTCTAGACCTGAATCCAATCGAGAATCTGTGGAAAGAGCTGAAGACTGCTGTTCACAAACTCTCTCCATCCAACCTCACTGAGCTCGAGCTGTTTTGCATTAACACAACTTCTTGTAAGCTGTACAACAATCACTGATTAAATGGTATAAAAGAAATGCACTGCTAACACAATATATAAGTAAAAGAATACCGCTAATTTCGCATCCGAATGTATTCATTTAAACATTAGAATATATTCTAATATTTAATTATAATTTATTATACAGCTCCTCACAGCAGCAGCACTCCATTAACTTGAATGCAATTCTTCCAATCATTTTTTCTTGATAACAGAACTCTCAAACCAATAATGACCGCAGCCCCAATGCAATCTCTGTTTGTAATTCAGGTGTGTAAAATAATGCCATTACTCCGCAAGTACAAGCTATCAGCGCCTAGCTGAGCTGGCCACGCTCAATAAACAAATACATATCTATCAATCAACACCATTAAACATTAATCGGACAATACAGAATACATATACATCCTTAACACACATGCACGGACGATTTCAGAATTTGCTGTCAACGTTTTCATGACAAAAATACTGTTTTAAAGTGACAAAAAGCGATCGCGAAAAACCCGGAAGTTACCGTGAAACGGCTAGCTAGCTTAGCTGTTACCTGCCTAGCACGTCCCGGTGAAACCTTTGGGAGCTAACTATTTTATTTGCAGTCATTAAATACATTTCGAATTATAAGGGCTGTCTAATATTTGTTTGAATATATATTATTTTTATTTTAGAATTATATACGAATTTTGAAGTCGAAGCCCTAGTGTTAAGCAGCGCTGTAGGGGCTAGAGGACACAGGCTGTAGAGACTAGAGGACACAGGCTGTAGAGACTAGAGGACACAGGCTGTAGAGACTAGAGGACACAGGCTGTAGAGACTAGAGGACGCAGGCTGTAGAGACTAGAGGACACAGGCTGTAGAGACTAGAGGACACAGGCTGTAGAGGCTAGAGGACGCAGGCTGTAGAGGCTAGAGGACACAGGCTGTAGACACTAGAGGACGCAGGCTGTAGAGACTAGAGGACGCAGGCTGTAGAGACTAGAGGACACAGGCTGTAGAGACTAGAGGACACAGGCTGTAGAGACTAGAGGACACAGGCTGTAGAGACTAGAGGACGCAGGCTGTAGAGACTAGAGGACACAGGCTGTAGAGACTAGAGGACACAGGCTGTAGAGACTAGAGGACACAGGCTGTAGAGACTAGAGGACACAGGCTGTAGAGGCTAGAGGACACAGGCTGTAGAGACTAGAGGACACAGGCTGTAGAGACTAGAGGACACAGGCTGTAGAGACTAGAGGACACAGGCTGTAGAGACTAGAGGACACAGGCTGTAGAGACTAGAGGACACAGACTGTAGAGACTAGAGGACGCAGACTGTAGAGACTAGAGGACACAGGCTGTAGAGACTAGAGGACACAGACTGTAGAGACTAGAGGACGCAGGCTGTAGAGGCTAGAGGACACAGGCTGTAGAGGCTAGAGGACACAGGCTGTAGAGACTAGAGGACACAGGCTGTAGAGACTAGAGGACACAGGCTGTAGACACTAGAGGACGCAGGCTGTAGAGACTAGAGGACACAGGCTGTAGAGACTAGAGGACGCAGGCTGTAGAGACTAGAGGACACAGGCTGTAGAGACTAGAGGACACAGGCTGTAGAGACTAGAGGACACAGGCTGTAGAGACTAGAGGACACAGGCTGTAGAGACTAGAGGACACAGGCTGTAGAGACTAGAGGACACAGGCTGTAGAGACTAGAGGACACAGGCTGTAGAGACTAGAGGACACAGGCTGTAGAGACTAGAGGACACAGGCTGTAGAGACTAGAGGACACAGGCTGTAGAGACTAGAGGACACAGGCTGTTCACTGCTCGTTCTGTGAGCGGAGGAGAAAGAGCGGCCCGCTCAGACTCTACTCAGCACTTTTCACTGCTTGTAATTTTTACACAGCTGAATCAATGACCTCATGTTTTCAATTAAATTATGTATTATGATACAACTTGTATGTAGTAAAAATAATTTTTATGAATTACTTAGAAAAAAAATTGTGTATAGCTTCTTTAAATACTGATGTTTCTTGCATTGACATTGACTCTGAAACCCCTGGTTTTGGCCCTGATCAGCTACAGACAAGTCTGAGGATGACATCATTCCCTCTGTGGAGAAAGCTCCGGAAGCAATCCTTCCTGGTCTCACGTTATGGTCAGTCTCGTACATGTCCTTCCTGGTCTTACGTTATGGTCAGTCTCGTACATGTCCTTCCTGGTCTCTCGTTATGGTCAGTCTCGTACATGTCCTTCCTGGTCTCACGTCATGGTCAGTCTCGTACATGTCCTTCCTGGTCTCTCGTTATGGTCAGTCTCGTACATGTCCTTCCTGGTCTCTCGTTATGGTCAGTCTCGTACATGTCCTTCCTGGTTTCTCGTTATGGTCAGTCTCGTACATGTCCTTCCTGGTCTCACGTTATGGTCAGTCTCGTACATGTCCTTCCTGGTCTCACGTTATGGTCAGTCTCGTACATGTCCTTCCTGGTCTTTCGTTATGCTCAGTCTCGTACATGTCCTTCCTGGTCTCACGTTATGGTCAGTCTCGTACATGTCCTTCCTGGTCTTTCGTTATGCTCAGTCTCGTACATGTCCTTCCTGGTCTCTCGTTATGGTCAGTCTCGTACATGTCCTTCCTGGTCTCACGTTATGGTCAGTCTCGTACATGTCCTTCCTGGTCTCACGTTATGGTCAGTCTCGTACATGTCCTTCCTGGTCTTTCGTTATGCTCAGTCTCGTACATGTCCTTCCTGGTCTCTCGTTATGGTCAGTCTTGTACATATCCTTCCTGGTTTCTCATTTTGGTCAGTCTCGTACATGTCCTTCCTGGTTTCTCATTTTTGTCAGTCTTGTACATGTCCTTCCTGGTTTCTCATTTTGGTCAGTCTCGTACATGTCCTTCCTGGTCTCTCGTTATGGTCAGTCTCGTACATGTCCTTCCTGGTCTCACGTTATGGTCAGTCTCGTACATGTCCTTCCTGGTCTTTCGTTATGGTCAGTCTTGTACATGTCCTTCCTGGTCTCTCGTTTTGGTCAGTCTCGTACATGTCCTTCCTGGTCTCTCGTTATGGTCAGTCTCGTACATGTCCTTCCTGGTCTCTCGTTATGGTCAGTCTCGTACATGTCCTTCCTGGTCTCTCGTTATGGTCAGTCTCGTACATGTCCTTCCTGGTCTCTCGTTATGGTCAGTCTCGTACATGTCCTTCCTGGTCTCTCGTTATGGTCAGTCTCGTACATGTCCTTCCTGGTCTCTCGTTATGGTCAGTCTCGTACATGTCCTTCCTGGTCTCTCGTTATGGTCAGTCTCGTACATGTCCTTCCTGGTTTCTCGTTTTGGTCAGTCTCGTACATGTCCTTCCTGGTCTCTCGTTATGGTCAGTCTCGTACATGTCCTTCCTGGTCTCTCGTTTTGGTCAGTCTCGTACATGTCCTTCCTGGTCTCTCGTTATGGTCAGTCTCGTACATGTCCTTCCTGGTCTCTCGTTTTGGTCAGTCTCGTACATGTCCTTCCTGGTCTCTCGTTATGGTCAGTCTCGTACATGTCCTTCCTGGTCTCACGTTATGGTCAGTCTTGTACATGTCCTTCCTGGTCTCTCGTTATGGTCAGTCTCGTACATGTCCTTCCTGGTCTCATGCGCATCCATACAATGTGGCTATGTCCCACAAGCTTTTAAAACCGCGGTAATCAAACCCCTTCTGAAGAAAACAAACCTGGACCCAGAAATACTTACAAACTACAGACCGATCTCAAACCTCACTTTTATATCTAAAATCCTGGAAAAACTTATAGCTGAGCAGCTCCGCTGCCACCTGCAGGAAAATGATATGTTTGAAGTCTTTCAATCAGGATTCAGAGCTCATCATAGCACTGAAACGGCACTAGTCAAAGTCACAAATGACTTACTACTAGCTGCCGATAATGGACAAGTGTCAGTGCTGGTCCTACTGGACCTTAGTGCTGCATTTGACACAATAGACCACAGCATTCTACTGCAGAGGCTAGAATGTGATATAGGTCTTAGAGGAACAGCCCTTGGCTGGTTTAAATCCTATTTATCAGATCGGTATCACTTCGTCAACGTAAATCAGAACTCGTCGCCTTATTCACAAAAACTCATTCACGCGTTTGTCACCTCAAGGCTCGACTACT